CGGGACCAGAGGGAAGGGAGAAGGCAAAGAGGTTGGCGGACAAACTGTCCCAACTCTTTGCCGACAAGCCTGGGGTCAGGATCGCCCAACCCCAAATAATGGGGGAACTAAGGGTCAGCGGCATGGACCCATCCGTGACAACGGACGAAATAGGGAGAGCAGTCATCGAACAAGGTGACTGCTCCCCCACAGAGGTTAAAGTGGGAGAAATCCGCCGAGTGGGAAACTCGGGCACAGCCTGGGTTCGATGCCCACTTAGAGCGGCCAAGAAATTGGCTCAAGTGGGCCACATCAAGACGGCGTGGTTCCCCATTAAGGTGGAACTTCTAGAGGCACGCCCCCTCCAGTGCTTCAAGTGTCTGGAGAGGGGCCACGTCCGGGCCAAGTGCCCCAACAACGTGGACCGCAGCGACACCTGTTACCGCTGCGGCACCGCGGGCCACTTGGCCAAGGACTGCACGGCGCAGGCTAACTGCGCTGTGTGCAAGGCGGCTGGCCGCCAGGCCTCCCACAGACTCGGAGGCCCAGCGTGTAAGGCCCCCAAGTCAGGGGGCAGGAGGAAGGGGGGAAAGGCTGCTTCGGCACCCTCCCCCCAATCAGAAAAGCTGCCGGCGGGAACGGCGACCCCGCCCGGCGCGAGTGGGCCTAGCCCACATGTTAGTATGGAGGTGGAACCCTCGCCGGCAGCCGCTGGCGAGGAGAGTATGGAGGTTGGCCCACAGGAGTGATGGGCGGTAGACATCAACAATGTCTATAAGGCTCTTGCAGGCCAACCTCAACCACACCCGCAAAGCACAGGCCCTGTTCCTTCAGGACCTATGCGGGTGCGACTTGGGGTGATCTCGGAGCCACTTCAGGTTCCAGAAAATAACCCCAACTGGGTTTCAGACCTGAGTGGCTCCGTAGCGATCACCAGGAGACACTCCCCGCGCTCCCCCCCCATCTCCCTTGTGGAGAGGGGAAAGGGGTACGTCATAGCGCGGTGGGGTGTTCTTAGGATAGTGGGGGTCTATGCCCCACCCAAAGTACCCTACCCCGACTTTAACAGTCAATTACGGGACATGGGGGCAGGCATACGCCGATGCCTCCCCCATCCCCGTGTTGGTGGCCGGGGACTTTAACGCCTGGAACG